TAAATTAGTGGCAAGTAATATCCTTGTCCAGAAGGATATTCATGGATCAAAGATAGTCATGGATCAATATTTCTTAAACATTGTATTCCCAACTCTAACCTGGAAACGACGTGTATTCTCTCTTTAATTACCACTTTAGGTGATGGCGTGTTAAACTGTTGAGGCATCAGATACCAGAGGAGGCTTTGTCTCATCCATTCCTTTAATCGTCCCCTAGTTCTCGTCACTTTACTTACAGGCGTGTGAGGACATCCTCATTCAGCCTTTTATTACTCTGGGAGTGGTGGGAATGAATGTGTATGGACACTCAGTCCCCAACCCCACTAAGCACAGTTAGGGGGTTCAGTCTCCACCTCGTTCTCTCCTGGGGCAGAGCCTGCCGGACCACCGCTGCCTCCTGAGATGCCCTTTTCCAACTACTTTTATTTAGAAAAGAAATGAGGCTTTCGAATAACCAGATGGAAGGTCTGCTGGTTTGGGGTTCTGCCTCCTGTAAACATGTTAATGCCTGGTCCCCGAAGTCGGGAGGGATTAAGCACCCCTGTCCCTCTCTCTCTGGCGGACTGGCCCTTCCCTCTGTGGCTGCTTTGCTTCCCGAAGGGCGCTCCTTCCACGTGCCCTAGAACTGGAAGTTGTTATTGGAGATACCCGAGGAACACGGTGGAAATGGCACACTGAAAGCTGGGTGTTTTCCGGTGTGCCTTTCCTACAGAGGGGCCTGATCGGGGGCCTGATCGGGGGCCTTTCACGGGCCTCCGGGAAACAGCGGCTCTGCGGAGCAGGGCTGGGGTGAGGTCGACAGGGGCGCCGCGTCCTTTCAGAGACGCTGAGAAAATGTGCTGTTAAAGTTTACAGACTCCTACTTAAAATTCTAATAGACTTCAGTAAATCTGTGTGTATGGTTTTCATAATGTGCTCCCCGAATTTTTTTTTCATTTTTTCCAATTTAATTGTTTGGACATGCTGAATTACTTTTTGAGAGAAAGAACCAGTTCGCCATTTGTAATGTTTTCCACCGTTCTTCGACTCCAATGCCAGAAACCTCTGTTAACCCCGGACTCAGCTGGCGTCCTGTGTTCGCCACGGAGACTTGCGAGTTTGTTACTTTAGCAAGGCCCCACGAAGAAAACGACGACACTTTGTCTCGGACGTGGATCGCATCCCCTTCGTTCTCGCCGCGCCCGGTCTGGACCAAAGCGCCCGGATTTGTCCGGAAGGGAGCCGGGAAGCCTGGCGTCCAAAGGCGTCCGGCGGTTGAAGGGTTAAGGGAGCGGCTGGAGGCAGCCGAGCGTTGGGGGCCCGCGAGCGGGGCGCGGGGGCAGGGGCGCCGCGGAGCGCGCGCGCAGACCCTCCAATAAACACAAAGGAGGGCCTGGGGAATAGAAACCCAAATCCACTTGTAATCGTACAAGAGATTCGGGCATAATTACTTGAGCAACCTAGATTAAGATTGATGAGCCTTTAAAGTGGCGCTTCAGATCGACCGCCTCGCCCTTTGGAAAGAAAAACCTCGTGGAGCCGAGGGGGACCCCGGCTCCGTGGCGGAAGCCGTCCGCCGAGCCCCCCGCCGGGCCTCGGGCGGGCTCCGCGCCGGGGCGAGAGCCGTAAAATGAGCGAAGGGAAAGCTGAGCGCTCTCCTGGCGGGCGGTGGTCACGCCCGGGGGTGCAGGCAGGCACGAACACTGTGAGCTCACAGCGGCCCCTCTAAGCGCGAGGGCAGCCGGCCGAGCAGCCCGGTGCCTCCCGCGGCTGGTTCTGTGCGGACGGCGGCGGTTTCCCGTGTGCTGGTCCCCGGGAGCGCGGCCCCTCTCGGGCCTGCGTCCCGCCGCCGGAGTGGCGGTGGCCATGCGAGCCACCCTCCGCGCGGAGCCGCCGCGGAGAGCTTGGCCCGAGGGACCGCCGGGGACCCTCCTTTTTCATCGCTTTTCTGCGGGCGCTGCGGCTCCTTTGAACGCTAGTGATGGGGCAGTGGAGGGGACTGTCGTGCGCCGCGGCTGCGGAAGGACGCACATTATTTCTGGTTTCCTCGTCCGTGGTTATTGAAATCCAGGGCGGCGAGGAACGCCGCCCCTTTGGGGGTCGTTGTTGAAGGAGCAGCTCGGCAGCCCCCCTAAGTCAGTGTTCTGACTTGTAAGATGCGGTGTTCCGCTCCGCCTCGGGTGCGCGGGGTTTGAAGTCGGCGCCTTCGTAGGCTCAGTGTGCAAACATCTCTGTACTGCAGCTCGGTCCCTCTAGTCTCGAGAGTTGAGAAACAGACCTTGTCGGTCCCTTTCCTCAAAATCGTTGTGTTCACATCTTACAATTTCATCATTTTTTGACTGATTCTCGGTGAGGAAAAATCACTGCTACAACCCCTCCCCATCTTTTTCTATGTAAGAAATGCAATTAGTGTCCCTGTGCGCGCGCCGATATTAATAATCTCCCTGCGGAATTTCTCTCCGTCCCGTCCGGCTGCTGCACAGCCTCCGGCCCAGCCCTCCGGAAACCTGCTGCCGCCGTACGGGCTGCAGAACGGCCCGTTCCTGCGGGCGGAGCCGGCCGCCTGGGCTCTGGGATAACGGGGGGCTCCTAGCGGAATCAGGCCTGCCCAAGTCCGTCCCGCACTTCCCAGTCGGTTAATGACAGCGCCTCACCAACCGCGTGGGATTTCTGGGAGCAGGTCGCAGTCCCGCTTGCTAAGGGTCAGTTATCCGGTTTCCTGGCCTCTTTGGTTTTTAGAGAATATTTCCCTCTAGTCTCCTGGTAAGGTAATGTGTGCACGCCAAGCAGACCTCATCTCGAATGAAAGGAGGCACCATTTTTTAAAGTGCATCTTCCACATCGCGGTCCACTTCTGGGAGGAGGCCCGAGAGGGTCCCAGGACCCAGCCTGACTCTGGTGCCCTTGTCTTCCAGGCCCCGTGGTTCTCAGCACGCCCGCCCAGCTCATCGCTCCCGTGGTGGTGGCCAAGGGGACCCTCTCCATCACCACGGCCGAAATCTACTTCGAGGTCGATGAGGACGACCCCGCCTTCAAGAAGATCGACACGAAAGTGAGTGCACTCGATGCGGATACCGCGCTGGGGGCTCTGTGGCCGGAAGTGGTTTTCAGTTTTGCTGAGTTTTAAATGGCAGTGGGGGAGGGGAGCAGAGTGCCGCCTTTTCTCATGGAAAATAAAATGAATGAAGAAATAACACAGGCTTTCAGTTGTGGGATTTTAAATCCTCTATCTCCAGAGCAGGCCCATTTTCACAGCTTGTCTGAGTGGCTTTGTGTGCGTTTGGGCCGATTTGGTAGTTAAGCCTCCCCCCTCCCCGGGGGACAGAACCTCAGGCTCTGAGAAGACTGAGAAGGGTCTTATGAAATTTCTCACCGAGATCGCTTAATTTCCAAAAGTGTAGATTGCAATGCTAATTATTTTTCACGGAAGGGTTACAAGGGGGCTGCAGGGAGGGGCACCGTTTAGGTATAAACTCATTTCCATTATTACATCCATTTTTCATCTTCTGAAATAGGAATGGGTTTTACATGTGAATTTCAGACGAAGAGAAACTGATTCTCTGGGAAGCTTTGGCTTAAAATGTGTGTATACTCGCGCTCAGATGCTTAGAGTTGGTATTGTTCTGTGGGTGTGAAGTCAGAAAAAACATATTTGGAGGATTTGGAATGCATAAACATTTATTTGCTCATTAAATCTTGTGTAGATTTTAGAACCAAGTATTTGGGATGCTCTGCACCTCCCCTCTCTTTTGCAATTAGTGTTTCTGTTACTTTAACCTGTATGTGACTGTGCAATTTGCAAACTTTTTTTGTGAGGTTAAAAACTCAAGAACAGAAGTGTCATGCTGGATAGTCAAGGATCGTTTTACAAAGATCTTCCTTTAAAGCAGTTTTCAGAGACATTTGTTCTAAAATAGTTAAAGACAAATGCTCTCAAAGATCCAGAACTTTATTCTTTATAATTCATTTTATTTAGAAATAAAGCCTCATAAAATACTATTTGTGGAATAGCAATTGAAATTCTAAAATTTACCCCCAACTGAATTAACTAACTACCCGAAGGCCATAACCGATTAGCCCTTCTGGCACTTGTTGACTGTGAAAATACTCTGAAGGGTTGTTACGGGGCTCCTTTCCCTTCTAGCTCCAAAAGAACTGAGTTTTACAAATGAGTGTAAATATAGTGTATTTGGCTCTAAGTAATTTGAAGGGGTTTTTTAATGCTTTTACCATGAGCTAGCCCTGTGAAATGAAAAGGAATTCTGGACTTCTGTTTAATTTATTCAGCTATTAAACACTGCCTAAAATAAGGTCTGACTTCAAACTGGTCAGAAATCATCTTCAGTTTACTGCGTAGTTGGTTTTCATGCACAGATTTCAGATTTGCACATGACTTTGTTAAGGTCATTTTCTGTGAGTTCGTCTGGTTTGGGGCTCAGCAATGTTGACTGTCCTGCCCTTTTTTCCCCTTATATCACCAAAAACGCTACAGAAATACTAACCCCGGAAGAGCGTTCCCTCCTGGGCAAATTTAAATTGTGTCTGCGATAGAAAGAAATAGTCTTACAAATAAATTAGAAACAGAGTTCATCCTTGTCCTCAGTAGCTCTACAAAAGCATTGTGAGGTTTCATTGTTAATGATTTTATTAACGCCTCAAAATGTTTAAAATATTCAAGCATTTTGGTTTTCAAAGCGAAGCATTACATCTCTTCATAGAAAAACAATTTAGGGTGAGACACAACAACTTTTATTTTACCTCTTTATTAGCTCCTAGTTAAATAAAGACCAGCAACAAAAATTAAAATCTAAATCACAAAAGTAATTATCCAGTGTATTTCAAGTGCATTTTTCAAATATATAATTCAGATATTCAAGCGTTATTATATACGCTGAATTCAAATATCTTTGAATATATTTAAATAACATTTCAAGTATACTTATGGAATGTTAGAAATAAAACAAGCAATATATTTGAAACGAAATGTAAACTTTTTAAAGTTCAGACACTTTCAAAGACAGATAAAAGTACCAGGAGGAAATCTACCTTTAAATGGTACCTTTGTTAGTGAAAAACGTCTGGAAATATCCAAAATGGCCATTTAACTTCTGTTCACCAAATCACAAAACACCAACATCCACACTTCAAAGACAAGGTGAGATCACAATATTTGTTACACATCAAAATATACATTACACTCTCCTTCGGGGGCAGATCCAAACGTGTTTGCTCACAGACACGCACACCTGAGCCCCCAGGTAGCTGCAGTCCGCTGCCGGCCAGCAGCCTCGCCTGAGCTCTTGCCTTGGGGACGGGCTGCTTTTCCAGGGTCACGGTGCACTTTTTGGGGAGACAGGGGGTCCTCGGTGAGGAAGTCTCGAACACTTGCGGGCTGGGGTTCTCCTTCATCTGCTTCCCCCACTGGTTTCTCTGCCCAGGGAGAGGCGGCCAAAGTATTGCCTGAACCCCGTGTCCCTCCCTTGGAAGGAAGAGATGGTTTGCGCCGTCAAGCGGGACAGCAGAGGGGATCGGACAGGAAGCGTCCCCTTGATGCGGACTCCCGGCAGAGTCCTCGCGGTCCGGCTGCTGGTTGCGCTGCCCTCTAAAGTTTTTCCAAACTTTTGGGGTTGGTGAGGATCTCCCTGGCCAGCCGCCACGTCTGCTTGGCCGCGTTCTCCAGCGCCGAGTGCGGCTTGCCCTGGAACAGGTCGAGGTTGGGGAGGAAGTAGTGGGGGCACCGCCGGCACTGCAGGCAGGAGATGAGCTGCAGCAAAATGCCATTGAGCCGGTCGCCCAGGCAGGACTCGTCCCAGTCCGACTCCCGGGGGTGTTTCTCGCACTCGTAGGAGACCAGAGTCTTCATGTGGTAGTTGTTGAGGGGCTGGCCGGGCAGCTCCAGGTGGCGGTCCCGCAGGGTCTTGAGGATGGAGAGGCATTTCTTCCGGCAGCCGCCCATCTGCAGGCGGTTCTCGGCCTCGGCGAACTGCAGCACCCAGGCGTCGCTCTCCGCCGAGCTCTGCTTGCCGGCCAGGGAGTGGCACTCCTTGGACAAGAGGTTGAAGCCTTCCGCTTTGACCTCTGCCACCCGGTTGGGTCCCGGCCAGGGGATGTGGGGAAGCGGCCAGTGGGCTGCGCTCCGAGGCCAGATCCCCGTGCACTTGAACGCCGGCGTGATCTGCACCACGTACCGATCCCGGATCCGCAGTTTCACTTCGCTGGTGTCTGCCACCATCTTTACCACGTCCCTGTAGCTGCATTTGTCCACCGCCTGAGCCACCAGCGTCTGGAACCGGGACCGGATCTTGCGTGCGGAGAGGTAGCCGGAGGCGGTGATGAATTCCACCCACAGGGACATGCTCCTCTTGCGCCCGTCACTCAGCTTCAGCACCGCGCAGCCGGGCAGCGAGCCGTCGTCCACAAAGTTAAAGACCCCCATTTGGTTCAGGTAAAGCACCACCTCGAACTCGGTGGGCGAGATGACCTCCAGGCCCTCGTAGCGGTTGTCCATCTCGTTGAGGGAGCTGATGAAGCGGGGCTCCTGCACCTCCACCTCCTTGAGCACGTCGGACACGACTTTGCAGACCTCCCGGATGGTCTTGGCGACGGCGGCCTTCCGGGCCTGGCATTTCTCGTTGTAGTACTTGTTCAGGTGGTACACCAGCTTGGCCTGGGCCGCGATCATGTTGGGGCAGAGATCCGGGTTGTACACCGGAGTCTCGCAGTAGGCCGTGGGATCCAACTCGGCTGCTAGAGCGGGAGCCAACTTTGTGCAGAAACGGCCGGCGCCCGCAGCGTCTCGGAAGCGGTCCCGGCGCGCCGCCGCGGGGGTCCGAGCAGCCGCGGTCCCTCCCGGCGTCTGGGCTCCCGGCCGCTCTTAAAGCGGAACGCCGCTCTCCCTGCCCTTTCTCTGCCTCTCCTCTTCCTCCTTGAAAGAATCCTGGTGGGAGAGGAAGGCGTGGAGAGATCCCCTCTCAGTTATGAAAGCAAAAGTTGCGCTGATAGCCAGCAAAGCTCCTCCAGGAGTCCCAACAAGCAGCGCTTCCCGGTTTATTTACACTTTCCGGGAGTCATCGTGCGTGCGGGACTGGGGCTCGGGCGGAGCAGAGCGGCGCCGAGTGTGTGCGGGGTGCGTGTGCATGTGGATGTGTCAGAAGAAGCTGCTGTCGGGTTGTCTCGGAGCCCAGATGCACTCGTGTGGAAATTATAAAGGCAGGGCCAGGCAGGCTGGCGGCCAATCGCCACTGGGCTCGTCACGACAGCCTCCTTCAGCTCCAGCCCGGCTAATTAATCCCCCTCAAGGAGAGAGGCACGGGACCGAGGTAGGAGGCTGCTGCCGGCAGGGGCCCACGCAGGCCACCTAGACAGTTTTGGGAATCAGGAGGGCTCGCTCAGCTCCGGTTTACTGGAAACATATTGACGTTCTGAAAGGACTTGGCAGAGTGGTCTCTTCCGCGCTGAAAACCCTGCTTGCGTCTGCTGCTGAGCTGCGAATACAGGTGTACACTGGAGTGGTCAGCCATCCATCAGGGAGCGAGCCGGGGTTTTCTGAAACAAAAGTCGTTCACTTGCAGTTAGAGGAAGATCCACACGGTCTGTTACACCTCGAGGTCTTTTACAGAGCAGGGCGAAAGTCGGCTCTCTCCTGCTTTGCAGGGTGGCTTTCTGGATATTCCTCTATGTTAGGATGATTTTTTAAAAAATACTGGGCATTGTTCTAATTCTGTTTGTTCCTCATTTGCAGTTGTTGAAAGAAATCTGAAAATCATTGCTAAGTGTGTTAGACGCTGTCTACCCCAGTTTAAGTTAGGGTGTTTAAGAAGAGTGTTTAGGAAGCCCCTCCCCCATCCGCAGCCCCCTTTGTGCTGCGGTGGGCGCCAGCCTTCCACACGGGACCTGAAGTCTTGTGTGCACTCACAGGAGTGTTTGAAAAATCAGTGATGTCCGTGGTGGGGGGAGTGCGCTGTGCACTCAGAGTGACGCTGTGTGTCAGTGCGCAAAACTCAAGGAGGGTCATGGCCACGGACCTGCTGGCGGAGGGCTGCCCTGGACACAGGCAGCTTTGGGCGTTCTGGCTTTTGGGGCGTTGGCAGATACAGGGTCCAGGGTGTGGCCCCTCTCTTAAGTGCCCTCAGTGCTGGCCTCACGGTGGACTTACAATGTTATGTGAGTCTGTACGATTTGATTAAGGGAAGTGGTTAAGATTGTAAAAAAAGATTAATTTGCAGCCATCCCGCTTTTTTTTTTTTAAACAGCATTTGGGGGAAAATTAGAAAGCAATCAAATTTCTAAATTGGGACCCTGAGAACAGGAGGGGACACTGACTTATGTAGAACCTTTGTGGAGGGTGCCAGTTTTGTCCCTAATGTGCAGGAAAGGAAAGAACCACTCCGCAGGGTGGTGCCCTGCTTTGAAATAAAGCACAGGCCGAGGCCGGTTGTTAACCGTCTGCCTTTCCTTTGGATGTGGTCTCTTCCCGATGGAGAGTGTTCCTGGCCGAACCCACTAACTCCTGGGAACGGGCTGGCAAGCACTTTGCTTCCACAGCCCCTTTCAACAAGATCTTGTTCAGGGCCCCGGGTTTTGCTCCAGCTTTCGCCTGGGGGGAGTGGCGGCGCACTGCACAGCGTCACAAAGCCACCCGTTCTTGACTCTCGTCATCCGAAAGTGACAGAGTGTGGTCTAGCTTCAAATTGTACGTTAGATTGGGGGCCGGCGGCATTGATCAGCCCTGTTCCCGGAGAACCATCACCCCCGCAGGGGCAGGACTGGGCACACCCCAGCAGCCCCTCCCGGCTGTGCCGGGGTCTCGGGTGAACGCACCGCTACCTTCTGGCAGTTGGGAGAGGGAGCTAATCCGAGCAGGAGGCCCTGGGCCACTGAGCTGAAGACCGGCCTTGGGCTCTGGGGAGAAGCCCCCGCGGTTTTTCACCCGACGCAGGTTCCGGCTGCTTCCGGCCGGCCTCTCGCCCGCTGCTCCGCACTCCCGGGCGGGCCTTGCCGCCGTCCGCTCCCGTTCCCCTGTCCCGTAGGCTTTATTTCTGCGAACGGTCATTTGAAAGCCTCACTGGGCGTGCCGGGTTTCTCTGCGTCCTCTGAAGGCCTCGGGCTCTGCCCACGCACCGCTCAGCCCCGGGCCCACGTGTGCTCGAAGCCAAGCAGCGCTTTCTGGTTCCCCAGCGCGCTGCCCCCCGAGTTTCTAGGCCGAGCGCTCACCCCCCAATTCCCTGGGCCACCTGCAAGTACCCCAGTTACAGAGGACAGGACGCAGCATGGGACGCGGAGGCCGAGGGGTCGTTCGGGGACCGTGGCGCGGCTGTCCAAGAGGGTCCAACGCCAAGGGCGCGAGGGGCGCCGGGCCGGCCTCGCCGGAGCCAGGCGCGCAGGTGGCGCGTCTTCCGGGCTCACTGTGCGACTTAATTGGGTTAAAGCGAAGCTAAACACCCCAGCACTTTGTGCAAACTAATTGGTGTAACCGGGGCCTTTTCACTAACGATTTGCACTTTGAGGAAGAAAAATGGATGGTGAGAAAAGAACTAAGAAGCTCGTTAGCCCTCCTGTGCTGCAGGGAAGTGAAGTCATTCCGGCTTGAGGACTCCGGGAGGGCGCGCCGGCGGAGCGGCTTCACGGGCACCCACCCCGCAGGGCGCTGACAGTGATTTACATAACACTGGGCCCCGCGGCCGCTGTTATCACTGTGCGCGAACCGGCGCCCCGATCACACTCCGGTGCCAGAGCTCGTCGCTGCGGCTCTCGATTTTGTATTGCATTGAACACGTGAGATGAATTGCTTTCTGCCGCCGGCCCCTTTCCGGCGATCGCAGGCGCCTCTCAACTGTCGAAGGGAGCACCACGCTCTTCTGAGCAGTACGTCTGCTGCCCCTTCTCTTATTGAAATAACTTACGGAGGAACTTACAGAGTCTAGTTGTTGTGGAATTTCATCTTTTTCAACCAAGGCTTTAGAGATAGACTTGTTTTGTGGGAGGAATTGAACTATTGAATAGTGAAACATTTTTTTCAAATAGCATTTGGCCTATTAAACTAATTATTTCACGTGATTATGTAATATATGGAGATAGCTTAAAATCAATTTATTTACTTAGGGGAAAACTTCCTAAAACAACTCGAATGACACCAGTCTTACTTGTATTATTATTTTTTGCAATGACTATAATCTTCAGAATCAGAGCTTGTGTGTGGCTGGTCCTTGGGTTGTAAGCGTTAATTGTTTTCATTGGAATGCTGTGCCGCTTGTGTGAGGTGAGCCAAAAATGGAATAATAATTGAAGAAAACTGACCTAATTGAAGGAGGAAATCACGAAGAATCTCATGATTTAATGATGGTTTGAGGTGCTTATATTTGAAGGGCATTTGGAATTTTAAGGTCTAACCAATTTGACTTTCTCATTTCATTCACGTAGTTCAGGCAGCCTTGATTTAAAAGATAGACACCATTTAGGGGAAGATATCTAAACGCTTCACAAACTCACCATTATCATAAGTTTTGTGTATTACCAAATATAAAACAATTAAATACTGTGCTTTTGAACATGTCGAAGCATTCAAAATGACAACGGCAAAATATTTTTCCCAACATGCTATTGCCTAGGTAATTTATCCCCATTCTGTAAGCCTGCCTTTGTGATGGGCCGCACAAACAGTCACCTTTTAGGTTTAAAGGAAAAGTGGATTATGTTGAGAAATGTAGGAATGCAAGGTTTTAAAGAAAATACTAATTTAAATTTGAATTACATGCTCATAAATTTCAGTGATCATGACCTTTCATCTGGGGAAATGTATCTCTTAGTTCAAGGACGGACTGCACACACATGTTAAATGCTCACAAAGATGTGTTTGGTGTTTTTTCATTATCTACTGGCTGCTGTTCTGTTCACAAGTATTCATGAATTTAAAGTTTTATTTTTTAATATGTGCTTATGACACTGGGGAGATAAAAAGAATATGAAGTTGAGTTTATTGAATTATTTATCCCCACTGCCGGAGTGGCTTTGAAGGCTCGTTGTAAGCATCTGATTTCTACCCCCTCCTCCTTTTTTAAAATGCACTCAGGCTATTTCATTCTGCCAGACACAATATATTTCTTCTTTTTACACCAGAGAAATTAAAGACATATTTGTGCTGGGTTTTCTTTCTGTGTCGCATTAAATAAAGTGAAATCGAGGGGTTTCTGGTAACCTAACTTGATGGCATCTCCCCTTTCTTCCTGTTGTGACTCCGAAGTGATAACCCTCACAACAAAGTAGCGCCAGAACAGTTACACTGTGAAACCAAATTTGTGATCAAGTACAGCGGAGGGTGTGGTCACCTCCCAGTTAGACCCTGTTTTATTTCTTCAGCCAGAGCATCCAGAGAGTAGCAGGGAATTTTAAAAATCATTTCCTTAATTCTTCACAAAAACATCTTCTTAGGGCTCAAACTAAATGCCATCTAACCCTTTCCAAAGGGTGAGGACACTGGGGCTGGGCGTCCGTTCACCGAGCGCTGGGGAGCGCGCGTCCCTGCCGCTGGTGCCGCTCTTCATCCTCCTCTTAGGAAGTCAGGGGCGTCTGCGCAAACTCCAAAAGTCACTTCCTACCACCGTTCGACGCCAGCCTGTATTTTTTATCTGGATACTGCAGGCACGGTCTGACAGGACCCGCGGGCTCCTGCAGTTCTCTTCTGTAAGAGGAGGTGAGCGCCAGGCCTGCTTACCCGTCACCAGCCTGGGTTCACGCACCCCGGCACCCAGGGCCACTTCGCGGGCCCTCTCAGCCCCCGGAGTTCTGAGCACGTGCAGAACACAGTGGCGTCCGACGTGATCAGAGCCTCTCGCTCCGTGTGTCTGTAGTAGGTCATCCAGGACTCCAAGGCTCTTGCTCCTGTCCCCACTGCCTGTGACCAGGCCACTGAAAATCCTCGTCGTGACCTTGAGGCGAGAGTCTGGTCTGTAGGTCCTCACCTTCGAGTGGCCGCGTGTCTAAACACCCCTGCTGTTTCTGTTCCACAGTTTTGCAGCTGATTTTATTAATGAACAAAGCAATTCTTCTAAACTAGGATTTACTTTTTTAATGATCAGTAACTGGAGTAATAATACAAAAGGTTAATTACCCTAAATTTTAAAAAAACACTATTACCTTTTATCATGTGTATTGTATGCAATAA